GTGGTTATTTCAGTCAAAGTTGCTCTTCTATCAGCTTGAATCAGTCGGCCCATTCTCCTCTGACCTCTAGCATCAACAAGGCATTTTCGCCCACAGGACTGCCGCATACTGGATGTTTTTCCCTTTTCACACCATTCTTTGTAAACCCTAGAAATGGTTGTGCGTGAAAATCCCAGTAACTGAGCAGATTGTGAAATACTCAGACCGGCCCGTCTGGCACCAGCAACCATGCCACGCTCAAAATTGCTTAAATCACCTTTCTTTCCCATTCTGACATTCAGTTTGTAGTTCAGGAGACTGTCTTGACCAGGACCACACCCCTAAATGCATTGAAGCAACTGCGATGTGATTGGTTGATTAGATAATTGCATTAATGAGAAATTGAACAGGTGTTGCTAATAATCCTTTAGGTGAGTGTATTTTACATTTTTGCAGCTCCTCTCTTCTCAGTCTGTCAGTAACGCTCTGTTTAGTTCCAGTCTCTATGAAGCCCCTTCTTCTGAAAAGCACACTGTGCTCTGATTGGTCGGCCGGACCAGTGTGTTGTGATTGGTTAACCACTTTGAGTGTGTTTTGGAAATGTCCCGCCTCTTACCATAACTGCAAATTTCAACACACTACTAACTAACTCAACCAGGCCCCGCACCTTTATTTTGTGTATGCCTTGGCCAGGAATTATTTAATTGAAAAATAATGTGACACGTTCGTTCCTGGAAGAAAACTCCAGGCGTTTCAGGGAGTTCAGAAACAGTGCGCACTAAAACAATAACTTTGTGCTTTGGAGTGACATTTTTCATGCTCAAACAGCAACTTACACACAAAAGATAAAAAAGATTTAAAAAAAAAAACATATAGGACACCTTTAAAGGTGATGTAAAAGCATGCATTTCATGCATACATACTGCAAACCACACAATAAGCAAATAATGCATAAAAACTGGTGTATAAAACATCCTACCTGGGAAATAACCAGCTTGAAGGAAGATTTAAACTCCTGGATGTCTGACGTGAGGCGATTAACCAGCTGCCCAGTCTTGTTTGCATCAAAAAACGCAACATCTTGTCTGTAACATGACATTTACACAAGATCATTAGAATTTTTTCTTTAATTAAAGTGTATGAGAGCCTCTTCAGCAAATATAGCACATTTGCACTTTAATTCTTTAAGAAAAAAAGTACAAACCTAAGCAAGGACATGAAGAGAGTTGTTCTCATGTCAGCAGCCACTCTCTCTCCAACTCTAGACAGTAGAATGATGTAGCCACTGGTCAACAGACCCTGAAAGACAAATAAACAACAGATTTTACATATACACTACCATTAAAAGGTTTAGGGTTGGTTACATTTTGTAATGTTTTTGAAAGAAGTCTCTTCTACTCACCAAGGTTGCATTTATTTGATCAAAAATACATTAAAACAGTAAAACTGTGAAATTTTATTAAAATTTAAAATAACTGTTTTCTATTTGAAAATATTTAAAAATGCAATTTATCTCTGTGATCCAAGCTGAATTTTCAGCATCATTACTCCAGTCTTCAGTGTCACATGATCCTTCAGAAACTATTCTAATATGCAGATTTGCTGCTCAAGAAACATTTCTGATTATTATCAATGATGAAAACAGTTGTGCTGCTTAATATTTTTATGGAAACCGTAACACATTTTTTTTCAGGATTCTTTGATGAATAGAAAGTTATTTTGAACAGAATGTATGTGAAATAGAAATCTTTTGTAACATTCTAAATGTCTTTACTGTCAGTTTTCATCAATTTAATGTATCCTTGCTGAATAAAAAGGTTTAATTTTTTTCTAAAATCTTACTGACCCCTAACTTTTGAATGGTAGTGTAATAGTGAGAGTCTTTATAATCATCAGGAGCAAGTGAAATGTTGCTCATAGAGTTTCAGGTGTGACCTCAAGTACCTGTAAACCATACAGTCCAAGCAGCTTCATTGCAGGCGCTTGAATATCTCTCACGTAGTGACCCGTTTGTTCTCTCATGTGGCGAGCGACGACATTCACCAGATCCCCCAAAATCAGAGGAATCTGAATATTAAGGGCTGCTGCTCCAAACGCAAGCTGAAAGAGAACATAATATGGTTCAAAAAAACTATTTAGCCAAAAAGGATGTTAAATTAAATTAAGCATAAGTACAAATAGTTTAAATGTTTACTGACGATAACGGCTCCTATTAGAGCAAGAAGTTGGGGTCGAACAAACTCCCACAGGACGGCCCAGCTGAATTCAGGAATCTTTTCTTTCAACTGAACTTCCACCGGGACATTATTGTTCACATCTGCTTCACAATGAGCTACAGTACCAAGCAAGCGTGCCGTCACTGTCAAAGCAGCTGGTCCTAATATGAGTTTCAGAGTGACGTTTGGAGTTCTCGGCTGCCGTCTGGATGCTAGACGGAGCACTTTTTGAGCTTGTCTCCATATCCGAACAGGAGCACTGACAGTGAACTGTGTGAATGGGATTTGTGAACTGCTCCATGATACTGTGTGCTGGCCACGTCTACAATACAAGAGATAAAGGACAGTATGAAAAAAGTGCACTTTGTAATCATGTCAAATTAATGGTTTTACATTAAAGTAAGTTTTAAATCAACGTGGGTTGTTGTGCTTTAAAGTACACTTATTCTGATGCGTTGACTAACATACTAAATCAGTTCCTGTTTATAATTTTAACTGTAGTGTGTTATTTAATATTACATTTAAAGATAATATATTTTAAATGCACTAAATTGCAACTACCATAAATTACAAATATATTTAAATACATGACTGCATTTTATTTCGTTCACCATAAATGCTTGTCAGTACAATAAGCGGCCCACTTTTGTTTCAAAGACAATAGAAGTTATAATGAAATTACATTTAAAGATGTACTTAAATATGTTAAAAAGCACTCTTAAGTTCAACTAATTGCATTTAAATATATCTTTTTAAAATTGCGCATAACAAATGCAATTACTTGTCTGAAGACATTACATTCAGTTCGCACTTATACATACATAAATATATTATTTTAAAGTATATTTTTCCATAATAAGTACTCTTTTAAAAGAATGCTAAAATGTACTTGTTTTTCACAAGGGACATACCACGACTATTACGCAATATTATTTCATTAGTTTACTTTAGACCAGGGGTCTCAAACTCGCGGCCCGCGGGCCATTTGCGGCCCGCGGGGTGATATTTTGTGGCCCCCTACTTGACATTAAAGTGTAATGTTAGTGCGGCCCGTCGTTGCGTGTGCCGCGTTTTAAATGGGCTACCATACGGTGGGTTTGTTGTCAATAGTTGCCATAGACAACCGCTAAGTACAAACATACTGCGCGCCTGGAAAAAATGAGCGCGTCGCTTCAATTATGAGCGCGCTTGCCGCGCACGCGCACCTACATTTGAAATAACGAACTTGAGCTCGCAAAATGTGTGAGCGCGATATGTGAACTGCGCCTTGTCGAGCTACCACCAATCAGGCCGCGAGCTACTGGTAGCTCGCGAGCGACGTGTTGGAGAGAGACCCTATGGAGAGACCCTGCTTTAAAACAATGTGAGAATAATCATTTTGAGCTTGTAATATGTGTCTAACAGGTTGATAAGAAGGTTTGCTTTGATTTGTGCAGTTAGTAATTTGCCTGAGACACTATACATGTGTAGAAAGAATTCAATAAGACGGGCAGACATGACTGCAAATATTTGTATTTCAAAAGCAATAATTGTTTTTCTAAGTATATAATAAAAGGAAATGTGCCTTCCAAAAAAAACATTCAATATCATTAATGTGTTGTATAAAGAAAATAAAAAGGACATAAGCAAATATAAATATTACAAATATGTGTTATAGACAAAGAAAGTTTGTAAAATGAACTTCAACTGTCAGAAGGACAGCTCATGAAGAACCAATCATGTACAGAAAGGTATGTTCAAATTCAGAGGAACAGTTCAGAAGAAACGTTAATAATAAAGATTGAGAAGATTGGATCAGTTGTGCTCCTTTTTTGGAATACTTGAATACTATTTTTTGTGGAATACTTGATGCGGCCCAGCCTGACCCAGACTCTACCTCCAGCGGCCCCCAGTTAAGTTGAGTTTGAGACCCCTGCTTTAGACCATATGAATCACCTTTGGCATGCATAAACAACATACTTCTGTCAACAAAAGCAACGTCTAAAGTTACTTGATAACAGACCACCTTGTGACTTCAACCAGATCAACATGAAAATGAATGTGCTGTGTAGACAGTTAGTTTCAAGCCAAATTAATAAATATAGATAAACATTGTGTACCTATTGAGGTGGTGGATCAAGAAATCTCTTGTTTTTTGGGAGCTCAAAAATCGATCAGACGTAACAGTGCCGCGTGTCAATCGACTGCAACGTGCAAAATGAAACATGTTTTAGTAGTGTTTTGCAATGACAACAGGAAGAAGAAAGAAAGATTGTTCATGAAACTAAATGCACTCAAGGATTAACATGTAGGCCGCCATGTTTACGCAATCCCAGCGTGACCACGCTTGCCCTATACGTCATTGCTCCGTAAATATTTTTTCCACTTTTTTCTACATACATAAATAGTGGAATGTATATGACAATTTGGCATTATATAAATGTGGTTATTTTTATTTTTACAACTGGCTTTTTTTTTATTTGGCATTTCTTTCAGTCTGAAATATGTGTATGTTTGATGAACGGTGTACGCTTTCATTTTTTCCAATTTTTATTTAAATAAACATTTTATATTTTATTATTGGTTATAAAGTGTAATTATGTATTAATACATGCAAACATGGTCTATTTTTGTTTAAAACAGTCCTCTGGTCAACGATTTACCTAGTTTAGAAATTACTTAGATTAAACAGAACTTAAATAGAACTATCAAGAACATAAGATCGGACATAGAGAAAACTGTATACACTTCTTGGCAATCTTCATATTTAATATTTCATATATATAATAATTTTGCATTACATGTAGTGAATAAAAGTCCCGGAAGTGACGCTACTAGAAACCAAAGTGACGACAGGCGATATTTGTTGTCATATCTGTTTTTTGTTGTGAAGAGCAAAGGCGAGGATCATCTTTGCTCGGATGGTGAGACTCATTTTGCGCTTTACACATTTAAATCATTTCAGTTTTCTTTTAATAGAAGTGTTTTCAGTAATAAAATCTCAACTAGACAAAAACAGACGATAAGCAAATAATGAGCAGGTTTGCCTGGATGAGGTTGATGTGTGTGGTGGCAATCTGTTAAACTCACCCCTGTTAGCAGTCACTTCATAAAAAATGGTTTAATCTAACGATCAGTTATGTTGTCATCAATAATCGTTGCATTTGCACGTCATCGTGAGTTATAATGACAACATGTGTCTTTGTCTGTTTGTAATGATGCAATCAAGTCTGTCCTTGACTCAACTGAACATAAACTGAGCATGTGGTTGGGGTTTTGTCAGAAAAATAAAGACAATATAACAGTCTTGTGAGTACAGAGTACAGTGAACTTGGTCAGTTTGAGCTGGTTCTGCACTTGTTTATGGTGTGAGATCTGTTTGTAGTAAATGGTCATAACTAATTCCACTATCATTATACCTGTTGTTCAGGACCTAAGGTGAATATTATAGAGAGGTAGAATGTAAAACACGATGGCTGGTTTTGAAACGTACCAGGAGTATCATCGGATAGAAGACTGTGATGAAGACTCACCCCCAGGAGAGGAAGATTTACTCATCCATGTGTCAGAGGGCAGAGGGGGTAAGTATTGTTCACTGTCATACAGTATGACAAGATAATATGTTATTTTATATATATATAATACTAAAGACCGTTCCATTTTTTTATCATTTGAATTATGTCTTTGTTACATTGCAGACCCATGGCATCATATCAAGAACCTCGACAATTTCTTCACAAGAATATCCTTTAAAAAATATAAAATTTTGCAATATTATTTACATACATTTCATAGGCTGAATGGAAAAATGGGCAATTTTTGTGAATGCATGAAAATCTCCCAACACTGTTCCAGTATCATTTTCTCTTTTTCATGAGAACACACTGCCTCTATTCATCATTAGGCGTTGATATTTTGTTACGCTCTGGCTACATTAATGCTAAACAAAGCTGTAATTCTTTAAAACTGTTTCAACTATTATTGAAATCCAAGAGGCCTTAATCAACATGCTCACATATATCATTTTCATCAGAAGAATGGATTCGCCTGTATGGTGTTATCAGAATTTTTTGAGCTTGTGTAAGTCATATTTATTTATCGCCTGAAGCTTTAATTATTTAGGGCAAGTTTTTGATATATAATCACTTAAGAACTAATCATGTCTGCTTTTGCATTTCCATTTTCAGGCAATTCCTGTTTGTGGTCACGTTTACAACTTTCCTCTTCAACTGTGTGGAATATGATGTTCTCTTTGCCAACCGAGTGGTCAACCACACGGGTCAGAGCCTCGGTCCTCTGGACAGGAACAAGGTCACCCTTCCTGATGCTATTTTACCCAGCGAGCAGTGCACTGAGAGGTCAGTGTGTCCGGTTTATACAGGCGTATGCACCGAGAGATGCTGAACCTCCTGCTATTGAGAATTGAAATTGGCTTTGCTTGTAGAAATCTGTGGTTACACTGAATTTTATTTGTTTGTTTGTTTGTTTGTTTATTTAGGAATACTCCAAAAATCCAGTCTTTATTTACATATATATTTATATTATTATATGATTAATATTAATCTATATTATTAATCAATCAATGAATTAGTAACATCTTTGACTACTTCAGTGTTCTTGTCATTAACATATTTATTAATTGGAATAAATAATAAAATAAATAAATATTAGATGAAAAACTCACTCGCACTCAAAAAACTTGTAAAAAGTAGAAATGTTGCCTTTGCAACTGACTGAAATAAAATAATATTCAGTTGAAGTACTAACATTACTAAAACTAAATAAATAAGAACTAAATAGAAATATTAAAAACAAACTATTAAAAATGACAGAAAAGCATAATAAAACTACTGAAACTTAAACTAAAATGAAAATATAAAAATAAAAGCTCATTCTAAATATTAAAAAATACTATGATGGTGTATAAATAATATTCAAATGTTTTATTTATACAGAAATTCTTTTACAGTTCAGTTTACAGTCAAAATTTGTATTTTCATCGAATCAAGCAAAGTTCAGAATAGAGCTGTCATGAGCTATTGTTCACTTCAGTTTATCGGTTTACTCGATCAATTGTCAAAGTAATTGACCGATTACTTGATTACCAAAGTAATCGTTAGTGACAGTCCTAGTTTAGAATTAAAACCAGGTTTTAGCGCTTTTGTAATATTTTAAATAATATATTTTAGAAAAGAACAAATAGGTGAACTTTTTACAACCTGCATCGTAACAGCCAGTTTGCCGATATTTTGATATTGCATGTGAACTTTTATCATAATGCACCACTCAAGGTTTATCACGTTTTGTGTTCAGTTTTCAAAGTTGATTTCTTATTGCGGTTTTCCTGTCATGTCTAGCTGGTTTTTGTAGTCGCCTGAGTTCAAACGTGCCCTGGAGCTCTGGGGGAGAAGGCTGTTTTGCTCTATAGATTGCGTCACACGTCATGTGAAGTTCAAAACCTCGAACTGATTCGTTTCCTACTTCTCAAACAGTGGCTCCAAAATAAGCAGGCTGTAAACAAGCACCTGTTGGGATGATCTGCTCTCTCAGAACCTGTTATTCTATTTCCGTGACTGTAGATGATACTGAAACTTTGTATTACGTTGAGCTCATGTGTTTTAAATAGAAACCGAGTGTGCGATGTTTTGGTCCATTTGGCATTGGATCGCTATTTTGCTTGTATCTCAGATTTTTACTTATCATGGACACCTAATGTTTCATACACAGATAGTCAGAAGAAGTATAAATCAATTTACAAATGTGGTGTTCACAGACTAAGATATGCAACACAAACATATTAATATCACAGTTGACAGTGACACACTTCATTCAGGAACATCTTGTGCTTTCATAAAGTAATAAAGACTTGGTAAACATTCTCATTTGGTTGGTCATATTATTTTCGATATCTGCTTTCATTCTGTTTTGCAACTAACTGCGTTTGGAAGAGAGTTTTAGTTATTCAAGCCACACTACCTACACTACCGTTAATTTTTTTTCATAAGTCTCTTATGCTCACCAATTACTGTAAAAACTTGTGACATATTATGTAATTACAATTTTAAATCATTTCTATTTGAATATATTTTAAAAAATGTAATTAATTCCTGTGATCAAAGCTGAATTGTCAGCATCACATGTGTCACATGACCCTTCAGAAATCACTCTAATATGCTGATTTAGAGCTGAAGAAACATTTCTTAATATTATCAGTGTTGCGATTTTTGTTTTCAAGATAACAACATTTATTTGAATTATAAATCTTTTGTAACATTATACATTTTCTGTAACTTTTGATCAATTTTAGTGCATCCTTGCTGAATAAAAACTCAATTTTTGAATGGTAGTATAGATTTTATAGATATAATTTATATGCGCAACTTATAATGCCATAAAGGAACCATGAGCAATCCCATAATCATCTGCTGTCATATCATAATAGTGATGATCTTTCTTCCTCGATCAGGATTCAAGGAAACAGCTGGATCATCTTTCTCTTGATAATGGCGGCCATTTTCTGGCTCTATCGGCTTGTGAAGGTGATCTTTAACGTCCTCAGCTACTGGGAGATCCGGCAGTTTTATATTAAAGCTCTGAAAATACAGATGGTAAGAGATACATTCATGATAGACACATTACATAAGTTTATCAAACAACACGATTTTAGATTAAAGTGCAAATGTAACTTGTCTTGTTTTACATAATTCTCCTCTCACACCTTTTTACATTTGTTATCATTTTAGTGGTCCGATGGTGTGATAAATGAATTTTTAAAAGTACAAATATTCCATGTTGTCTCTTAGTTAATGAAGTCATAAAACTGCACGTATATTAATAATCATAAAATGATTAACAAAGTGCAGATTCATCTAAAACTAATCTTTAAAAAAAAATGAATTAGCACACTATTAACCACATTCATTTGTCACACCTAAATATAAATATTTCTATCATTTAATAAGTAAATAAATTAAATATTTGTATTAGTTAAATCATTTTAGACGAATTATAAATTGTTTATATTATACTACTTATTCAAACACTGTTAAACACACTGTTTTGTGTTTTTATGAATGTTAGGATGAGTTGTGCAACTTCACATGGCAAGAAGTTCAAGGGCGTTTGATTCACCTGCAGCGTGAGCATCCCATGTGTGTCCAGAAGCGGGAACTTTCCGAACTCGACATCTACCACCGCATCCTGCGCTTTAAAAACTACACGGTGGCCATGATCAACAAGTCCCTGCTGCCCGTCAGACTGCGCGTGCCCTTCTGCGGCGACATGATTTTCCTCACGCAGGGCCTAAAATACAACTTTGAGCTCATTCTGTTCTGGGGACCCCTCTCACTCTTCCAGAACAAATGGAGCTTGCATCCTAAATACAAACGGGCGGCAAACCGGCAGGACCTCGCCAAGCAGCTGAGCCGCGTCATACTGTTGACAGGGCTGGTCAATCTGCTGCTGTGCCCCTTCGTGCTGGTGTGGCAGGTGCTGTATGCGTTCTTTAGCTACGCTGAGGTCATCAAGCGGGAGCCGGGGAGTTTGGGGGCCCGGCGCTGGTCGCTGTACGGTCGGCTCTACCTGCGCCACTTCAACGAGCTGGATCACGAGCTGCAAGGCAGGATGGGCCGTGGGTACAAACCCGCCGCCAAGTACATGAATGTCTTTGTTTCTCCTATGTTGGCGGTGCTGGCCAAGAACGTGGCTTTCTTCTCCGGCTCGGTGTTCGCTGTGCTCATCGCTCTGACGGTGTACGATGAAGACGTGCTGACCGTGCAACACATCCTCACGGCCATCACCGTACTTGGCGTGGTCATCACCATCACCAGGTACGGCAAGACTTTGTATGTTATGTCTATTTATGTTGCCTTTTATGTTGCCTTTCAAGCCAAAAGCTTGTCTCCACCTCAGAAAATGCAATCCCATTTAGTATCGTGTGTGTGTTAGTTCACATCTTCTGTTCTGTGTGTGTGTGTGTGTGTGTTCTGGGTAAAAGACCAAACCTGATTAGCAGCACTTGATGAAGACAGTCACTTAATTTATTAGTCGACACCGAGAATTGACTGTGTAGTAAATCAGTTTTAACAGCGGCTCTGTTCCAGAACCTAGTGGACTCCCTATCTAGTGTACTCCCTATCTAGTGTACTCCCTATCTAGTGGACTCCCTATCTAGTGCACTCCCTATCTTGTGCACTCCCTATCTAGTGTACACCCTATCTAGTGTACTCCCTATCTAGTGTACACCCTATCTAGTCATATATCTAGTGTACTCCCTATTTAGTGATATATCTAGTGTACTGCCTATCTAGTGTATTCCCTATCTAGTGATATATCTAGTGTACTCCATATCTAGTCATATATCTAGTGTACTTCACTATCTGGTGTACTTCAATATCTAGTGTACTTCACTATCTAGTGTACTTCACTATCTAGTGTACTATCTAGTGTACTCCCTATCTAGTCATATATCTAGTGTACTTACTATCTAGTGTACTATCTAGTGTATTCCCTATCTAGTCATATATCTAGTGTACTCCCTATCTAGTGTACTATCTAGTGTACTGTACTCCCTATCTAGTGATATATGTAGTGTACTCCCAATCTAGTGTAGGCTACTTACTATCTAGTGTACTATCTAGTGTACTCCCTATCTAGTGTACTATCTAGTGTACTCCCTATCTAGTGATGTATCTAGTGTACTTCACTATCTAGTGTACTCCCTATCTAGTGTACTCCCTATCTAGTCATATATCTAGTGTACTCCCTATCTAGTGTACTCCCTATCTAGTGCACTCCCTATCTAGTGTACACTATCTAGTTAATAACTTTTAGTTAATATTTCATGTGCTTTACCATTTTTATTATTTAAAAAAAATCTATTTAGCTTTCATTTATTTTTGTGAGAACGGAATATATTTGTGAAGATAATGGCTTAAAAGTTTTGTAGTTTTTAAAAGTGTTTTAAGAGTTTTTAGAGGCATTTAGTTTAAAAATATGTGTTCACATGTTTACCAATGGCAAATGGGAAAAGTACTATTTTCCAAGCTTGGCCGATCTTTTAGATTCCTGAGTGATTTTATTGTATTAGTTGTGAGTCCTCTGACATTGTTAATGGAAGATCAGGTGAAGTACTTTACTGAGAAGGGAATATCTGCAGGTAAACATGAAATCATCTGTCCAAGAAATGTGTTCTGTTATTGTGGCCGCATTTAGACCCCTAAACATGACATTGAACAAAACAAAACTGTGCACTATGTTTATTGCCTATGCAGAGTGTTCCAAATCAGTCACTTATGAGGTTCAATTTAGTTAAAGATGCTGCCTATGTAGACAACGAGGCAGTGCTGTCCGTTTTGGAACAGAGCTAATGTGTAAAATGATTACAGCTGTGCACCTCGACATAAAACATATTGGCCAAACTACATAAAGTAAAAGACAATGGCTCTCCGCAGCTCTTCCCAGCTGGCTTCAGGTCAGAGAACAAGTGCTGTCTCATGTGTTCTGCTGACCTTGTTCCACCTAAGCATTGTAATTCTGCCCTGAACACTCTCAGCACCTGTTAGTCTGACCTGGTCTACAGTAATGCCATGTGACTCTCTTACAGGTCGTTTATTCCAGATGAACATATGGTGTGGTGTCCTGAACAGTTGCTGCAGTGTGTCCTGGCACACATCCACTACATGCCCGACCACTGGAAGGGCAACGCCAACAAGAGCGAGACCCGGGATGAGATGGCACAGCTTTTCCAGTATAAAGCGGTGAGAACTGCATGACATTGTCAGATCATTGTTGTTAGATATTATGCCTTTTGTTCATTCATTCATTAATATACATTACCGTTAAGAAAATCTGGGGTTTGGCAAGTTTTCTTTTTAAGTTAAATTGATCAAAAGTGCTAGTAACGACATTTCTGTTACAAATGATTTCTGTTTCAAATAAATACTGTGCTTTTGAACTTTTTATTCATCAAAGTTGAAACTTTGAAACAAAACTTTTTTTTTTAACGGTTCCCCCAAAAATGAAGCAGCAATGATGTTTTCAACATTGATAATGATAATAAATGTCTCTTGAGCAGCAAATCAGCATATTAGAAGGATCATGTGACACTGAAGACTTACCTAATTTAAAATAAAATATTTAAAATGTATTATTTAATGTTAAGAGTTATTATCTAGTGTACTTCACTATCTAGTGTACTATCTAGTGTACTCCCTATCTAGTCATATATCTAGTGTACTCCCTATCTAGTGTACACCCTATCTAGTGTACACCCTATCTAGTGTACTTACTATCTAGTCATCTAGTGTACTTACTATCTAGTGTACTCCTTATCTAGTGTACTATCTAGTGCAGGGGTCTCAAACTCAACTTAACTGGGGGCCGCTGGAGGTAGAGTCTGGGTCAGGCTGGGCCGCATCAAGTATTCCACAAAAATAGTATTCAAGTATTCCAAAAAAGGAGCACAACTGATCCAATCTTCTCAATCTTTATTATTAACGTTTCTTCTGAACTGTTCCTCTGAATTTGAACATTCCTTTCTGTACATGATTGGTTCTTCATGAGCTGTCCTTCTGACAGTTGAAGTTCATTTTACAAACTTTCTTTGTCTATAACACATATTTGTAATATTTATATTTGCTTATGTCCTTTTTATTTTCTTTATACAACACATTAATGATATTGAATGTTTTTTTTGGAAGGCACATTTCCTTTTATTATATACTTAGAAAAACAATTATTGCTTTTGAAATACAAATATTTGCAGTCATGTCTGCCCGTCTTATTGAATTCTTTCTACACATGCATAGTGTCTCAGGCAAATTACTGACTGCACAAATCAAAGCAAACCTTCTTATCAACCTGTTGGACACAAATTGCAAGCTCAAAATGATTATTCTCACATTGTTTTAGAGCAGGGTCTCTCTCCAACACGTCGCTCGCGAGCTACCAGTAGCTCGCGGCCTGATTGGTGGTAGCCCGACAAGGGGCCGTTCACATATCGCGCTCACATATTTTGCGCGCTCAAGTTCGTTATTTCAAATGTAGGTGCGCGTGCGCGGCAAGCGCGCTCATAATTGAAGCGACGCGCTCATTTTTTCCAGGCGCGCAGTATGTTTGTACTTCGCGGTTGTCTATGGCAACTATTGACAACAAACCCACCGTAAGGTAGCCCATTTAAAACGCGGCACACGCAACGACGGGCCGCACTAACATTACACTTTAATGTCAAGTAGGGGGCCACAAAATATCACGGCCCGCGGGCCGCGAGTTTAAGACCCCTGATCTAGTGTATTCCTATCTAGTCATATATATCTAGTGTACTCCTTATCTAGTGTATTCCCTATCTAGTGTACTTCACTATCTAATGCACTCCCTATCTAGTGTACTCCTATCTAGTGTAGTCCTATCTAGTGTAGTCCTATCTAGTGTAGTCCTATCTAGTGTACTCCTATCTAGTGTACTCCTATCTAGTGTACTCCCTATCTAGTGTACTCCCTATCTAGTGTACTCCACTATCTAATGCACTCCCTATCTAGTGTTCTTCACTATCTAGTGTACTCCCTATCTAGTGTACTCCCTATCTAGTGTACTCCTATCTAGTGTACTCCTATCTAGTGTACTCCTATCTAGTGTACTCCTATCTAGTGTACTCCTATCTAGTGTACTCCCTATCTAGTGTACTCCCTATCTAGTGTACTCCCTATCTAGTGTACTCCCTATCTAGTGATATATCTAGTGCTAGTGTTAGTGATATATCTTGAGCACCAAATCAGCATATTAGAAGGACCATGTGACACTGAAGACTTACATAATTTAAAATAAAATATTTAAAATATATTATCTAATGTATTAAAGAGTTATTTTAAATTGTAATATCACAATATTATTGTTTTTCTTTATTTTTGATCAAATAAATGCTGCCTTGGTGCGCATAAGAGACTTCTTTCAAAAATATTTAAAAAAAAATCTTACTGATCTCAAACTTTTGAACAGCACTGTATGCATAAAATACACAGTAAATAAATAAGTGATTCAATTAATGAACGAATACAGGGGTTTTCAAACTTTAAACAATTACAAATGTTATTTTGAAAGTGCATATGGATATATTTTTCTCAGAAAAAAAATCAGTCTTTTCCTGCAAAGTACATGTGTTTAAGAATAGTTTTTAATTTGTTTTGTGCTCTTCCGACTGTTGTCACTTTTAGCTCGTTCACTGGTTGTAAGGCACTATTTTCTGCAGTTGCTTTGGAATTATATCTATTATGAAAAGTGTTATACAAATACATTTAAATTGAAAATGTTTTCCTTTATTTTCTAATAATGAATATAAAAAGGATAAACCGCTTGATTCAAATTAAATGAATTATTATTTAAATATTTGATTTAGGCTTTAGTACAATCACTAGCTAATAATTTGATTTAGAAAACATGTCTTTATGAAATCAAGTATACTTGTGTTTGTAAATGGGTCTAAGTATGTGAAAATAATATTTCATAGTTAAAAAAACCCTCTTATTAATACATACTAAAAGACAGAAAAACAAACATGACTAAATTATAAATAATCAGTTATTTAAATAACATTGTTGAAATGATACAGTATATAAATTATTTAAGTATTTTATTATGTTTAAAACAAAGGATTCAAATAATATCAACAGTCTGGACTTTTTAGTCTGTATCTTACTTTTATAACACAGAAACAAAATACGCAAAGTCTGACAGCTGAAAATGAGCACGGCTGATTGTTTACCACAGGAACTGTTGAGTTTTCGGTTATCTCAAGTATGAAATGATACCTTACCCCTCTGCACCTGTTGTCTAAAGAGCTCGTCTGATTTTGCACACCTGCTCTTTAGATTCGGATCTTCAGTGCGTCTGTCCTCTAGGATTATTTCACACCTGTGCAGCTGTTTTAAAGAGTTTCTCTCATTTATGTGCACCTGTCCTGCAGGTCTTCATCTTGGAGGAGCTTCTCAGTCCCATAATTACTCCCTTCATCCTCATCTTCCCCCTGCGGAGCAAGTCTTTAGAAATCATCGACTTCTTCCGTAACTTCACCGTGGATGTGGCAGGGGTGGGAGACATTTGCTCATTCGCCCAGATGGACATCAGGCGCCATGGCAACCCACAGGTAAATGCACATCAAAGATCACATGCACGTTTGGACATTCAGCTTGCGATATAATTCGGTGGGTAAAGCTTCATGGTGCAAACCCAGAGACTCAAAAATACCGTTCCCCCCTCTCGCTCAGTGGATGTCTGAAGGCCAGACGGAGGCGTCGGTGTACCAGCAGGCTGAGAACGGCAAGACTGAGCTTTCCCTGATGCACTTCACCATCAAAAACCCTCGCTGGCAGCCGCCGCAGGAGAGCTCGGTGTTCATCAGTCACCTGATGGAGAAGGTGCAACAGGACGCTCAGACGGGACCGTCTCCTCAGCTGCTGCTGTCCGAGGCTCCTCTCTGTACCTCGCTGCTGTCCAACGAGTCCGCCACTGGGGTAAGCCACACTTTCTCATGTTCAGCACTGCCTTAGACTGTATTAGGAGGATCCCTATCAGGCTCCAATCAATGCAGCTTTTTTGAAACCGCATTCACGACACAGCTAGATATAATGTAGGGCAGAACTGGATGCATCAGGATTTGATTAGATTGATTGATATTTCACATTAAAACACACTTACAAAAATGAGAGATATTTTAGGATTTTTTTTTTTACTTTGTATTGTGACATTATTTTTAAGAGTATTACGGTAAGGACAATGATTTTTTTAAACCTTAAAACAGCATATGTTAGAGGCAATAAATATTGACCTGATTTATAAATGCTTTACAATTTATATAAACACTTACAATATATATATTGCAATAATGAGAATGAGTATTATTATTATAATGAGAGATGGAGATTAGATGGAAAAAGTCCTTAATTGCAAAAAAATATAAAAAAAAATTTAAATTGCCATTTTCTTATTTACAAACAATTTATATTTATATAAATACATAAAAAAAAAAAAAAAAAAAAAAAATATATATATATATATAGTATATTTAAAAATATTACAATATAAAAAATTACTTTTTTGTAAATAATTGATAAATCCTGCAAAATCATATTAGGGATACTTACTATAATATTTCAGATAAAAACATACCGTTCAAAAGATTTTTGTAGTCTCTTATGCTCGCCAAGGCTGCAATTAATTAAATACTGTTACAATGTAAAATAACTTACTGACCCCAAACTTTTGAACAGTAGTGTAAATAATTATTATTATTATCAACAACAATATAATTAGGGCCCAAGCCCAAAGGGCGAAGGCCCTATTGTTTTCCTTAGGATTATTTATTATTAGGGCCCAAGCCTTGAAAAGGCGAAGGCCCTATTGTTTTCCTTAGGATTATTAGGGCCCAAGCCTTGAAAAGGCGAAGGCCCTATTGTTTTCCTTAGGATTATTATTATTATTATTATTATTATTATTATTATTATTATTATTATTATTATTTTATCGACTATTCGGGCACTTTTGGGGCTCTTAACGTGCACGAAAACTCTTGAAACTTTGCACACTGGTCAGAACCCGCGGCCATCAGGGCCGGGCTGAAGCTGGTACCCGGGCGTGGCAGGGGGGCTCGACAGCGCCCCCTGGAACGGGGTCCGAAAACTTGGTCCATAAATCAAACACGCTTCCATGTAATAATATGAAACTCGGTACACATATAGATCTCATCGGTTCATATATCCTTTGTACTTTTACTTTTTACCCCAGCCCAACAGGAAGTCGGCTATTATGGTTTGTTTGGAAGCGTATGCCCCTGGAATTCGATATACTCCTCCTAGAGAATTCAACCAATCGCAAGGAAACTCGGTCAGCATGATGTCAAGACATTGATGATGAAAAATTGCCAGGGGATTTTTCATATCTCGAACGGTTTGGCCGTGGCGAGGAAACAAATTTATGGCGAATAATGGAAACAGGAAGTGTGTTATAACTTCTGCATACATTAACTGATCTTGATGAAACTTCAACAGTATGTTCGCTGTAAGAGGCCGATCACATGGATGTGACTATTGTGAGTCAAAGTTATAGCGCCACCAACTGGCAGCAGGAAGTGTGTCACTTTCTAAATGCTTTTGACAAAAGTGGGGGGGTTAGTTTTATCTACAGTTACAAAACTCAGCGTGTATATTCTTCTCCTCAAGCCAAACAACTTTCTAATTTAAAGTAATTAGCTCCGACCCTCAGAAAGTCAGATATTGTGGTTTGAATAGGGTCATTTTCTCTCTCTCTCTCTCTGAGCCAATATGGCAAGCCGCTTTAACATTTAATCATTTTAACCTACTAGTCTCTATTTTCATGCTACTAGTACTTATTTTTAGATACTAGTATCTATTCCATTAAGTACTGGTACTTATTCATTAGCGACTAGTGCTTATTCTTTAGTACTAGTGCCTATTCTTTAGATACTAGTGCTTATTCTTTAGATATTCTTTTGAATACGTATTAGTAGCTAATGAATAAGTACTGGTATCTATTTAATAGGTACTAGTATCTAATGACTTAGTACTAGTATTTATTGAATAAATACTAGTATCTATTAATAGGTACTAGTATCTAAAAGGTCATTTTCTCTTTCTCTCTCTCTGAGCCAATATGGCAAGCCGTTTTAACATTTAATCATTTTAACCTACTAGTCTCTATTTTCATGCTACTAGTACTTATTTTTTAGATACTAGTATCTATTCCATTAAGTACTAGTACTTATTCATTAGCGACTAGTGCTTATTCTGTTTAGAATATTCAAAGTGCTTATTTAATTTTTTTGCTTATTTATATTTTCAGAGCAGAAAATCCGATTTTTCTGCTTATTCAATATTGCATCTAAAAATGTAAGTGACTTGACGTGTGTGTGTGTGTGTGTGTGTGAGAGAGAGAGAGAGATGTGTCTGTTACAGTGACAAGAGTTTAACCCTTTAAGGCCTTGTCTTTTTGGATATATATTTTTTTATTAAAAAAAATGTGCATACAACCCATATATTTTAAATGTATTGTTTGCTTTAAATTAAATTAAGATTGTATGTTTGGTAATTGAACCTAAATAAATTTTAAATTAATGTGCTATATTTCAGATCAATATATTTGTTTTCCTTCATTTTAATCAACACTAACTTTATTCTCATCTGAATTATAAAGAATTTATTTCTGTATAAAATAAAAAATCCCGAATAATCCAGACCAACCAGAGCGCACTATTTCTACAACATCATCAGTGCTGAAGCGAAACTACCAGAGCCGTTCGGCAGATAGCAAGCAGATATTTTGTGTCACGTCGTGCACAATAACCCTAAAGGCACCAGGGTGGCGGTGCCACCGGCTTTATATATATATATATAAATATATATATATATATAAATATATATATATATATATATATATATATATATATATATATATATATATATATATATATAAATATAGCTGCGAGCAGCGATGAAGGGCCCAAGCCGGCGGCACCGCCACCCTGGTGCCTTTAGGTAACTAAAGGCACCGGGGTTGCGGTGCCACCGGCTTGGGCCCGTAATCGCTGCTCGCAGCTATATTTATTATTATTATTATTATTTTATCGACTATTCGGGCACTTTTGGGGCTCTTAACGTGCACGAAAACTCTTGAAACTTTGCACACTGGTCAGAACCCGCGGCCATCAGGGCCGGGCTGAAGCTGGTACCCGGGCGTGGCAGGGGGGCTCGACAGCGCCCCCTGGAACGGGGTCCGAAAACTTGGTCCATAAATCAAACACGCTTCCATGTAATAATATGAAACTCGGTACACATATAGATCTCATCGGTTCATATATCCTTTGTACTTTTACTTTTTACCCCAGCCCAACAGGAAGTCGGCTATTATGGTTTGTTTGGAAGCGTATGCCCCTGGAATTCGATATACTCCTCCTAGAGAATTCAACCAATCGCAAGGAAACTCGGTCAGCATGATGTCAAGACATTGAGGATGAAAAATTGCCAGGGGATTTTTCATATCTCGAACGGTTTGGCCGTGGCGAGGAAACAAATTTATGGCGAATAATGGAAACAGGAAGTGTGTTATAACTTCTGCATACATTAACTGATCTTGATGAAACTTCAACAGTATGTTCGCTGTAAGAGGCCGATCACATGGATGTGACTATTGTGAGTCAAAGTTATAGCGCCACCAACTGGCAGCAGGAAGTGTGTCACTTTCTAAATGCTTTTGACAAAAGTGGGGGGGTTAGTTTTATCTACAGTTACAAAACTCAGCGTGTATATTCTTCTCCTCAAGCCAAACAACTTTCTAATTTAAAGTAATTAGCTCCGACCCTCAGAAAGTCAGATATTGTGGTTTGAATAGGGTCATTTTCTCTCTCTCTCTCTCTGAGCCAATATGGCAAGCCGCTTTAACATTTAATCATTTTAACCTACTAGTCTCTATTTTCATGCTACTAGTACTTATTTTTAGATACTAGTATCTATTCCATTAAGTACTGGTACTTATTCATTAGCGACTAGTGCTTATTCTTTAGTACTAGTGCCTATTCTTTAGATACTAGTGCTTATTCTTTAGATATTCTTTTGAATACGTATTAGTAGCTAATGAATAAGTACTGGTATCTATTTAATAGGTACTAGTATCTAATGACTTAGTACTAGTATTTATTGAATAAATACTAGTATCTATTAATAGGTACTAGTATCTAAAAGGTCATTTTCTCTTTCTCTCTCTCTGAGCCAATATGGCAAGCCGTTTTAACATTTAATCATTTTAACCTACTAGTCTCTATTTTCATGCTACTAGTACTTATTTTTTAGATACTAGTATCTATTCCATTAAGTACTAGTACTTATTCATTAGCGACTAGTGCTTATTCTGTTTAGAATATTCAAAGTGCTTATTCAATTTTTTTGCTTATTTATATTTTCAGAGCAGAAAATCCGATTTTTCTGCTTATTCAATATTGCATCTAAAAATGTAAGTGACTTGACGTGTGTGTGTGTGTGTGTGTGTGAGAGAGAGAGATGTGTCTGTTACAGTGACAAGAGTTTAACCCTTTAAGGCCTTGTCTTTTTGGATATATATTTTTTTTATTAAAAAAAATGTGCATACAACCCATATATTTTAAATTTATTGTTTGCTTTAAATTAAATTAAGATTGTATGTTTGGTAATTGAACCTAAATAAATTTTTAATTAATGTGCTATATTTCAGATCAATATATTTGTTTTCCTTCATTTTAATCAACACTAACTTTATTCTCATCTGAATTATAAAGAATTTATTTCTGTATAAAATAAAAAATCCCGAATAATCCAGACCAACCAGAGCGCACTATTTCTACAACATCATCAGTGCTGAAGCGAAACTACCAGAGCCGTTCGGCAGATAGCAAGCAGATATTTTGTGTCACGTCGTGCACAATAACCCTAAAGGCACCAGGGTGGCGGTGCCACCGGCTTTATATATA